GAATATAGAAATAAGGTTACCGAGTGTAAATGTGGTGATGTTATGTTTTAAATTTTAAAAAGTTGGATTTTGACTTATGTCCAAGTAACAGCAAAACAATTAAGGTACCATGCATGTGTGACTCCTACATAGAGTACTGTAACATTATTTCCACTATTTATTTTTAAGTGGATACCTTCACTAATAAGGGAGTTGTTTTCTTAAAACTACTCCAAATAATAGTATGCATCCAGTATCTCATATGGAGTAGTCCGTAGCGGATAAGTAGTCGGTTGTGGATTTCTCGTTTAAAACACACCAGACAATTTTTCATGGCCTTAGATCATTTGCATCCATGTGTCGTCTAAAAAGTAAAATATGGACTTCGTTGATATAATAACAGTGTATAGAATCTCTCAATATTGTTTTTCATATCATTCTAGCACCGTCAATAAAAACATTCTACATTTTTGTGCATATCAATTGAATAATTATAAATAAATTTCTCTTTGATTTTTTTTCTAAATAATTATGAAATTGAAAAAATACACATTTTGATGTTAAAAATTTAAAATTGGAAAAAAAAAATTCCAATTTTTTCATTATAATGTGAAAAAATTGGAGTACAAATAAAAAATTATGGAACTTTAAAAAAATAACATTTTTTCATGTATGGATGCCGCCACCCCCAGAATTGAAGCATGCTCTTTCGCCACATCCTTTTTCTTCCCCAATTTTGTTACTTTTTGGCCGGTTGTCCCTCCCTTCACTTCTATTTTCTATTGGAATACAAATGGCCTTAGAGTTCAACTTAACCGGTTATAAAAAAACGTTGGCCGATCTTTGGAAACTGAATAGGTTGATATTGTTATGTGGGTCCTTTATTTATTAAGGGTGTCCATTAATTTGATATTCTTTAATTAATTGCTACAAAAATTCTTATGGTGTGGGGGGCAAATGTTAAATTTTTCTTGCACATGACACGTGAGTTCTTCTTTCATTGATTTTGTCACATGTCCAAGTTCCTTAGAATGAGTTTTGCCACATGTCAAAAATCCCTCTATAGATTTCTCTAGGGGTTTGCTTTATTATATTATATAGATATTGTGTTTCAATCAATACATTACAACCTCTACGGCTCTACTACTTGGTAGATAATCAATAATCATAATAATAAAAATATAACATCACTAATAAACACTACTTACTACGAGTATGTATTATATTATATTTAATATTTTTTAAATCGCATACGTATTCATTGTCCATTTCGTATAAAATACATTTTATGTTTTGTTAATACTTGTACATTGTAAATAATAATTTAATTTATATGTTGACCGAGTTTTCCGGCGTTGACCCTCCGGGTCTGGGTTGACCCGTCCGTGACCCAATCATTCACCCAAGTCGTTCTCCGTCCTGTTTTTACAACATAGGTTTTGTGCATGCAAAGCTATAACACAAAAGGTCCGATGCATTTTTTTAATCATAGGAGCTAATGCGTTGAATTTATACTCCGTATATCACAAGGGTTTTGGTGCATTAAATAAGCATGAAGCTTTTGTTAAAATTTTAATGTATAAATCTGGGGTAGAAAATTAACTAAATAAGAAGATTAAGAGAGTTAGATCAGATAGAGGAGGCAAATATATTTTATTTAATGATATTTGTGAAAAAAGCAGAGATTATTCATAGATAACTCTGTCATATTCACCCGAATCTAATGAAATAGATGAAACAAAAATTAGGGCACTGATGTGCACTTTTTCGTGATGTGTGTCAAAACAAATAAATCAATACAACAATTATACGTAGTATAATGAAGTAAGGTTCGTATCCACAGGGAAATGAATATTTATCTTTTATGTAACTAGTAACATGAGGGGTTTTAGATTGTTGAAGAACTTTAAAAGTATTTAAACACTAAGATAAATGACTTATGTGGTTTACTTAATAGAGACGAAGACTTGACTTTGATTTTATCCACTTAATGAAATGTTCGTCGATCTCAGTTATATCTTTAACTATCTTCCTCTCGAATAATGAATCGAGGAGTATATCCAATTCATCGAGGGTAGTTATTAATAACGAGACGCGTTCATTAATAAAACCTACTACCGAGACAATATAGACGAAAACGATTGAGATTGATAACCTCAACACAAGCGGTTTATCGGTTTAATCAATATAATTAATTCCCCTTCGGTTATTAACCATGAGACGCATGCATTAACAACCCAAGTTTACTACTGTGAAAGGACCGAATTAATAACAAACGTATTAATCGATCGATTCTAGTAATAATTAATATATGAAACAAAACTAGTGATCGTTTAAGTAATGCTCAAAATATTAATATGAAATAGGAATAGGAATTAATTAATATTCAAGGAAGAAGATTAAAGAAAATAACTCACAACTTACAATTCATTAAGCTTCAAAGTAGCAAAACCAAGATGGAAGAGTTTAGCTCCTCATTTGGAGACTAAACATGATGAAAATATAAAGAAATAACTTATCTAAACTGAGCTTAGAAGTATATGTGAATTGGTGAATTTATTGGGAAGGAAAGGGGTGTATTTATAGGCTTTTGGGAGCTGCAGAGTCTGATACTTGACTGGGTATATAGGATACCCGATCGGGTATCTTAGGAAATTGCCCAGAAAATCACTTTTCTGGGCATACCTGATCGGGTAAGTAGGCATACCCGATCGGGTATGGGACAAATCTTCACAAAAATTTGCTCCGACGATCATTTGTCTTCGGATTTGATTTGGACAATCGGATCAAGCAAATTCCCGATCGGGTATTGCCTATACCCGACCGGGTACATGAGTAATTTTTTCAAATCGAAATCTTTCTTGCCTCCTTGCACTTTCCTTGATCTTTTAAGGTCCAATCTTGATCCCTTGGGTGATCTTTGACCTGTTTGACTCATAATAGTCCTAATCTAAACAAAATACAAATAATTATGAAAATAAAGTATTACACCAAAAGTGTGTAATTTCCACAACTACAACTAATAAAAACTAGTTAAAAATACAAACATACAATCGGAAATTACACGAATATCAGACACTAAAAGAGATGATGAATGCTCTTTAATTAGTTCTGGTGCACCAGCTAAATTTTGGGGGGCGGAGGGCTATTCTTTTTTGCTTCTCTTACAAAATAAGATTCTTTATAAACACAATAAAAAAAACCTTATGAATTGTCGAAAGATTTTGCACCTAATTTGAAAGTGTGGGGTGTTTAACTAAAGTCTTATTGCCTTATCCTAAGAAAAGGAAAAATGGTTCTAAGACTTCTTGATTGCATGTTTATCGGTTATGTTTAATCTATTGCTATTTATAGATATTTTGTTTTGAAAAGTGAGATACTTGATTGTGATACAAATGTTGAAAATTTTGAGAATGTGCTTTGAGAGGGCGCCCATACTAGTATGGAGGTGGATGTAGTAGATTTAGATACAAAAAGTGGGAAGGAGACGGTGCTTGTGAGAAAGCACTGCCTAACATAGTGATTGAACCTTTGAAAGGATGTGAGATGTGAAAAGATGATTTGAATGGAGACAATGAGAAGTGCTAGAGAGAAGTTGGGACATTTACCTTTGGTGTGTGCAGATCAAACCAAAGTTTCCTTTCTAGTAATAGGTGAAATCGGATTTATTTATGTTCATTTGTTTTTAGTCAAAATAATTTTCTTTTTCGTTTAGTTGTTTGAGTAGCAGGTGTGACAATGTTGCTAGTTTATTCTACATCTCTGTAGCGAACTAGTTGGGTCATGGTGTCCTCTCGGTTCTATATCTCACCCGAGTGTTGCATCTGACTTATTTGCCATGTTCCTTGTTACCTTTATCTTTAATAAATAAGTTTCTTTCCTTTTTTGAATGGAAATCGCCTATATATTTCATTAGTTTCACAATCGTTACATGAATCAAAGAAAAATCATATCTGACATCAACTAACATACACCAACTACGTCTGTAAACCCTACGATTACACATAAATGGTCACCCAAAAAGAGCAACACGAATCGCTAACCACGAAATGGAGTTGTCACAACTATCAATCTATCATGGGTACTATAGATCTGTATACTTCTAATGACATAAATATAAGCTAAATTTCCAATCACCCCGATAACCCTAGCAACACAGAATTTAACAAGAGAGCAAACAACAAAATAACATTAACTAATAGGACAAATTTCTCGAACCCTAGCACCTCATTCAACTTATGGCAGTGGTTTAGGAGGAGGTTGGATCATCAGTACCACTGTGATTGGTCTTTCATTGTCGGCCGAACCCTGGTCTGCCATAGTCGTTTCCTTGTGCTTTCCCACATCTACATACCCACCCAAGTATGTGATAGCCTTCCTGCTCCCTTGCTACGCAGCACCGCCACAACAAAGGTGCCTTGACCTCCCCTCCATCCCAGGTCACGTTGAACGCCTGAGCCTGGCTAATGGCGCCTCGCAGAGCCCCACAAGAGATCTTCAAGCTGCGAAAGCTATGGACACTCCAAATTATATCCCCATCATGATCATTGGCTTCTCAACATTCAAAAGAAAAGAAACTCATCCAGTCAAGCGTTTCTGACATCGAAACGAAATAAAACAACGGCGAAAGAAACTTGTCGAGCAATTAGTCGACACCAAACTTCAACCCCAATTTTAACTGCGGAGTTATCTTCAAGAATTCATTTGAATATCTTCCTGATTGAAGTTTTATCTGACATTTGGTATGAGTAAACTAGATTTAATGAATAAGATTCTCAAAAAATTCCACCGGGAACAGTCCCAAATGGCGACAGCCGGATAGAACCTCCTATATAAGTGCTTATTTGACCTTTTTATGTAAGTTTGAGGCGTATGTCCCCCTTTTATCCTTAATTGTGATATCAATTTAATATCATTTTTTTTTCTTTTAATAAAATATACTCGATTATACGTTATAGGCTCGCAACCTGAATAAAACTACCAGTAAACGCTACGTTGACTCTATATCTGGACCTTGTCCGTCTGCCAGTCTGCCATTGACCCCACCCAAAACCGAACCCGTCCTCTCTCACGGTAAATCTCCTTCTGAAACCCATTTCTTTTTGTTTCTTTTTCGCAAGTTAAAACAAAACTCGCCCCTCAATTTCATCCCTGCACTGTCACTAGCGGTTCTGGGTTTTGTTCTTTGATGTGGTCGGAGGAGTAGTTGTGATGTTATGGCGGCAGACGAGGTCGTCACCAGGACTTTCAGAGAGCTGGTGGAGAGGGCGGAGAAGAAGTTCGCTAGGGTGAGGGACTTGCCGCCCTACGACGGCGGGGCGCCGGCGGGGCACTACTTCCACAAGGTGTTCAAGTCCTACATGCGGTTGTGGAAGTACCAGCAGGAGAACCGGTCGAAGCTGGTGGAGTCCGGGCTGCAGCGCTGGGAGATCGGCGACATCGCATCCCGGATCGGCCAGCTCTACTTCAGCCAGTACGTTCGCACAAGCGAGGCTCGCTTCCTCCTCGAGTCCTACATCTTCTACGAGGCGATTCTCAACCGCAACTACTTCGACGGCTCCCGCACCAACCGCAGCGTACGCTTCAAGGAGCTCCGGTTTTACGCCAGGTTTCTTATGGTTTCCTTGATTTTGAACCGTTATGAGATGGTGGAACAGCTGGTTGAGCGGTTCAAGGCTCTTGTCGACGATAGCAAAGCCTCTTTTCCTGTATGGGATTTTCTTTAAACAGCATCCTTACCTCCTTATTAATTAATTGTACTTTGGGGCTTGCCATTCAGCTCAGTTTCAAGTTCCCCTTCATATTTCCAGTAGCCCTCCTTCTCAACTCCGTCATTTTTGTTTTGCTCTTTAATTTTATGTCTGTTCTTTCATTCACTTGGCAATTTTCTTAAGCTCCTTAGGAGCTAGTCCAGGTTTTGCGGGTTTGCCTAGCCTGTCTTGAAGCAAAATAGTCTAGGGTCTGTCTAGGCCGACTTGTTTTTAGAAAAGCTGTTCATGTAGTAAAGATCTATCAACAAGGATTAGTTAGCTATGAGGTAATTAATTTGAACCTAATACTTTGATGCTTGTCCTACTTGTGATTCTTAAAAAAAAGATCATTGTTTACACAAAAGCTTTGCAGTTATGGTGTTTATCATTATGATCCTTTTTAACTTCCAGTTACACTGCCTTCCAAACTATGCTTTAAAGTGAATCTGTGAGGTAAATTCACAATTATGTCTGTGGGTCTGCCATTGTTTCTTGTTTCATCTTGCCTTTAACATTATGTTCTGAATTTTTCGATTTGTGTATTTATGAGCCTTCCATTTTTTTAATTCAAAGAAAAACCTATGGCTATTTTACATAGCGGAGAATCCTTTGTGTGTCTGGCTAATTAAGAGCATCATTGCAGGGCACGAACTTCAAAGAGTGGAAACTGGTGGTAAATGAGATTGTTCGGTTTACAAAGGTGGATTTGGGCTCTTCAGCTGTTAGGCCTTTGCGGTTTACTGCTACTTTTGATTCATATCCATTGTCTCAACCTTATGTGGCCCGTTTCCATGCTAAGAAGGTCCTAAAGTTTCAATATGCAGTGCTGACAAGCTATCATAAAAATGAGGTATTGAAATGATTTTACATTAGTGATATGTCTGTCACCGGGTCTAAAATGAAATTAGTTTCAATGGCCAATAAGACCGCCTTTGGTTTGTTCTCAGGTCAAATTTGCAGAACTAACTTTAGACACTTTTAGAATGCTCCAATGCTTGGAATGGGAACCCAGTGGATCTTTCTATCATCAGAAGAAACCAATTGAACCACGAGAGAATAGGGTGACATTTGACCAGTCTTTGACTTCTGGACTGATTGATATGAATTTGGCTGCAGACATGATGGATCCAGATCTTCCTTCAAATCCTAAAAAATTCACTCTTTATCGCCCTTCTGTGGCACAATTGATCGCGGTGAGCTCTTAAGTTTTACATATGTTGAATAATAATCTATGAAAGTACTTGATGTACATGCCAGAATTCAGAAAGGTTTGAATTGTACATATGTTTTGCTTTTTGAGTGCTCCTGTAATATCATTCCCTGATGCAAGGCTAGTGACAGTCTGCTTTACATGTGCTAAAACTTTTAAAAGTATTAACTTATGAAAATTTTCAAAGATATCTATCTTTGAAAATATCCACTTTTAATCCATTGACTATTGTGATTGAGAGACTTTTGGTACACATTTTTCTTTTTGAATTTTTCCATCTTTAGTCCTCTGACTATTGTGATTGTGATAGTGACATTTTGCACCCGTCTTTGAATTTTACCACAACAGTTGGAGGATCCAATGTGCCATCACAAGGACCAAAACTGACACTCTGAAGAGAGTACAGAAAATTGGAAAATTAAAAAAATGGTACCAAAAATGTCGTTACCACAATCGTCATAGGACGGAAATTAGAAATAACTCCATTTTAGAACATACATTTGATATCCTTCTGGGTGTATATATGGTCACATTCATATTTGCTTGGTTACCTTCATGCTGTAGGTCATTGCCACAATATGTGAGGAGCTTCCTCCAGAAAGTGTGATCGTATTATACATCTCTGCATCAGGTTACCTTTTCTTTTCCTGTTTTTTCTTGACAGCCAAGTATCATCAATTGTTATCATTATTTCAGGAAACTCATTTCTAAATGCTGCTCTCAGGGAATCCAGGTCAGAGTAGTCCATCACATATGGATAACACTATACATTCAAGAAGATCTTCAAAGCTCGCGGCTGCAACCTTATCTCAAACCACTTTGCATGAAAACAATAATAGCTGCAATGGGGACCCAGATAACTACTTGGAGAACTCGTTGTGCTTTGGTCCTAGCAGAAATGGAGGTGCATGCGTGGAGAAATCCTTTTTCTGTTTGTGTTTCTTAGTTTTGGTGATTCTCATTTTGCCATCCTTGTCTATTTTCAGTTCATAACAACTTATATCCTGGGGATCTGATCCCTTTTACCAGAAGACCTCTCTTTGTAGTTATTGACAGTGACAATAGCCGTGCATTCAAGGCAGGTTTGTCAAAACTTTGTGTATCACATAGTGCACATATTCTGATAACTTTGTACTCCCTTCGTCCATCAATAATTGACACATTCCTTTTGAGAAGTATTTTATTATTTGACCCATTTCATTAATTGGAAACTTTTCATCCTCTTTTCTATTCTTTCGACCATGATTATCATCCCCTACTATTTTTTGTAATATCCGTGAAATAACTAGTGTGCCGATTATTGTAGAACGGAGGGAATATACACAGTTTAGTTGACGTGTTAGCCAGCTGATGTAAAATTTAGAATGATTTGGTGTATTTAAGAAGAGAACAGTTGTTTTTATCTCTGTTGACCTATATAAGTATTCCTCGCCCTCCAGGTTCTGCAAGGAGCTGAAAGAGGGGAAAGATGTGCTTTACTTCTATCTCCTTTAAGGCCATCGTTTAAGAACCCAAGCACTGATGTGATCCTGGATGGAAGCCAGTTTACCATATTCTTGACTGATCCCTTACAGGCTTTCTGCCAACTCGTTGGCCTCAAGGTTTCAGACAACAATCCTGTAAGTTCATTGCAGAACTGATACTGTTTGAAGACAAGTTTTTATAACTTTTAGTGTTCTGAATAGTTGGCACCACTTCTAGTGTGTATATTAAAATTTTCCACTCTTAACCCTCTTATTATTTTGACTTTTGGTCCTCCAGTTATGTGGTAGTGAAACTTTTGTCCTCCAACTATGATCACAACACGACACTTTTGTTCATCAAACCATTCTTCCAATATTCAAAGAGAAGTACCATAAGTGTTGCTTTTACAATTCTTTGAAAAATTCAGACAGTGACACAAAAGTTTTTCTTTTTTCAAGTGGAAAAGTTCAAAATTGGGCACCAAGTGTTAATGCCACAATAGTCGGAGGAGTAAGAATTAAAGAAACTCGCTTGGACATAATGTCGATTACTTCTTTATTCACGTGTGTGTTCTATTCCAGGATGTTTACAAGGATGCTGATGCTATCATCTCAACTTCATTTTCCGAATGGGAGATAATGCTCTGCACAACTCCAAGCCTAGACTTGGTCTGGGCTCAAGTATTGTCTGATCCGTTTCTGCGGCGGCTTATTCTAAGGTCAATTTTCTTCATTTTGCTTGACCTCATCTTTATTTCTAAGCGTTGAATAGTAAAGCACCACTTTTATTGATATGCCTTTGAACTTAAATATCTAATGGGTAAACTCTGCATTTTTTTCTCCTTGACCAGATTCATTTTCTGTCGTGCTGTGCTCACTCTATTTATCCTTCATGAAGAAACTGACTACCATTTGCCTGTTTGTGTCCCCGAGCTTCCTGATTCATTCAATCCGAATTCTGAATCTGTACAACCTAATATCAGACGTCTAGCAAATCATCTTAAAGTTGCTGATTCTTTTCATGTGTATTGATTGAGTTGTTGCTAAGGGGAATGAAGAAGATTGTACCATACTGGGTAAAAACTAATTGGCCGAGTTGATGTAAGAAAATACTAGTTGCTTGCTCAGTATAGTACAACATGCTTATATGACAGTAAAAAAGTAGTCTCTAGTTGATGTGCAGAAAGTTAGTTTCTTGTGCTTCAATTATTAGTGCATTGGCCTTGCTTGATAGCTTTCACCCAGGAATCATTGTTTATTGTGCTATAATGGTTGTTTTGTATTTACAGTTTGCAGGAAATTATTCAGTCAGAAACTGTTCATACTTCATACTTTCTGTAGTATGTAAAGGAGGCTAGTTTAACATATTATCTCTTTCTTTGATTCTTTTTAGCAAGAATAATGTGCCTTTAGTTGCAATTACCATATTTCACTGATTTCACTGATGGCTTATTGAAAGTCTAAAACCGGTATTATGGACATGGCCAACATTTAGTAAAGGGCTCGTTTGACCGTTTCAGCCACTGCGGTGGGGGCTCGTTTGACTGTTTCGCGGCCTATGATGATATGATCAATCTCTACACATTCATCAATGAAACTTGGAATCATTATGTTAAGAGGAATGTTTTCATTCTATCAACAACAAAAAGAGAAATATTTTCACTTACATTGATTTAGGTCACTCTTGACAAACCAAACAAGAGTATAGCTCGGACCAAATTTAAAAACAGTCCAAGTCAAACTAGACAAGTTCATATATTAGACTTGACTTTAAAAATCCACTTTGATGATGTTTTTAAATTGATTGATTTCCGTCTTAGGCCACATTGAACTTGAGTATATTAGACTACATTTGGACAACAGTAAAATAACATAAAATAGGCATCTATCAAACTAGATCTCGGTAGATTAGACTAGATTGGATAAAAAAATTGGTCCAATTAAGAACATCCTAAGTGAAGCATCTCATGTATTTAGTGTTAGTAAAATGATTACATTGAGGAAAAATCATTTTACCTATGAAGCACGGATACTTCCCTAGGGTAGTGTATCGGCGTATCCGATACGTTCCCGTATCTGATACTCTAGGATACCCGTACCGTACGTTCCCGGGCCGTAACTGCAATTTTTAAAAGTTTTTATTTCTTTTGTAATTTTTTGAAAGTTTCCGATACTCATATCCTGACGGATACCCGTATCAACTTTTTAAAAAAAAATCCCAAAATTTACTTAATAAAATTCTAAAAAAAATGAAAATCTAAAACTACATTTTACTTGGTAATCAAATAATGGGCCTATATGGCTATATCCGAATTAAGTCATTAACTCATACTCCGAATTGGGTACTTGCACTTTTAATTTCAAGATTGTAGTTGTTTGACTTATTTCTCATTTTAAATTTAATGACTTATTGACTACATTTATATTTCGAGATGCACTAGTGTATATGACAAATATTATGAATTTATTACTAAGTATCTTGAAAAAGGAAAATGCTTCAATGCAATGAATGGGTAGACATCATAGGATATTATATGTATATATATTTTTTAAAAAACTATTTTTAATATTTATAAATAGACCCCTATAACTTTTAATATTTGTAGATACACCCCCATAACTTTTAATATTTATAAATATGGCCCCGTATCCGTATCCTACTTTTTTTGGTTTTGACGTATTCCCGTACCCGTTTCCGCATTTCCGCGTTTCCGCGTACCAGTATCGGTGCTACATAGCATTTTACAATGCCAAATGAAGATACCAGGGGTGGACCGGTTCCGGTTTGGGCCCAGTTCGGGCCTGGGCCCGGCCGGTTCGCGGTTCTATTTTGTTGGGCCCGAGAACGAACCGGTAGTCACCGGTTCCGGGCCGGGCCGGCCCACCCGGTTTGTAATTTTTTTTTGCTTCTCCTATTTAACCCCCAACCCAACCCCCTCACCCCCAAACCACCCCAAACCACCTCAAATGGCCCAAAATACCCAGCCCAACCCAAAATTTTAAAAAAAATTCAGATAAAAAATTAAATTAAATTCGGCCCGGACCGGGCCCGAACCGGCCGGGCCGGTTCACCAAATGGAGGGCCCGAGCCCGGAACCGAAGGTTGACGCTAATACGGGAAGACACGGGCTGGAGTCAGTTCCAGCCTCTAGCCCCACGCTTTGTCCATGACCTTCTGATCTCAACCATGATCGATATTATCGAAACTCTCAACCTGCTGCTAGGGGTACACAAATTTTGACCCCCATATAGGCGATGCGATCTGTCGAAGAAGAGAACCTCACGAAAGGCGGACGAAAGCCGCACAAGAAAACCGTTCTTCGTCAAAAACGAAAGCAGAGAAAAGCAACCCCTAAACCTAGGGGAGACAGCCGCCTAGAGAGAGAAGCTCTCTTAGCGGCACCGCTCCTCGACGAGGTCGATAGCGGACGAAGAGCTGTAGCAGTAGAAACCCTAGAGAGAGAGACGGCTTAATGGTGTGGTTTAAACCAAATAAATATGACTAAAGCATTATATTAAGTTGTAATAATTAATAATAATTAAAATTAATTAATACTAATAATAATTGGACATAGAAGTGGGAAAAATAAATGGAACAACAATTCATTATTTTAAAAGGAAATTGCAAAGTTTTTAAAATAAATAAAAAGGAAAAATTGGCAAAATCAAATGACACGCAGAGCGGCAGAGAGTATAAAATAGTCGAAACCTTAGGGCCTGTTTACTAACAAAAATATTTTCCTGTTTTCTACTTCTGTTTTTTGTTCTCCAATTTTCTGTTTTTATTCTTCAGTTGTTCTATCTCCAATTTTCTGTTTCTATTTTTTAGTTTTCCACTTTGAAATATGAAAACATGTTCATCAATTTTTTCACCCAGTTCTCCAATTCCACACCCTTGACCCCTACCCTTACCACGATCTTACACTCTACCCATACTCCCCCACAACCCTTCATACCCACCCATACCTACTCGTAGGGGTCAGGGTAGGGAAGTTATGGGTGGGGGTGGGTTAAAGGGTATGGTCGGGGTGGGGTGGTAAGGTCTAGGGGTAGGGGGTTGGGTGGGGGTAGTGGGTGGGTTAGGGTCGTGGTTAGGGGTAAGGGTGGGGGTAGTGGGTGGGTTAGGGTCGTGGTTAGGGGTAAGGGTGGGGTAGTGGGTAGGGTTGGGGTAAGGTAGGGAGTTGGGATAGGATGGCGGTAGGGTGGGCTCGGGATCCGGGTTGGGCTGAGGTAGGGGAAGGGTAGGGTGGGGGTAGGATGGCGGTGGGGTGGGGCCGAGGTAGGGGGCATGTGGTAAGGGGTAATATACGAGTGGGGGTAGGGTAGTGTGGGGTTGAGGTGGTAGGGGGGTGGCGGTAGGGTAGGGTGGATCGGGGTAGGGCCGAGGTAGGGGCATGTGGTAGGGGGTGGGGTAGGGTCATTATAGGGAAAAATGGGTACGCGGGGTTGGGTTGGGTGGGTATGGTAGTGTATGGTAGGGGAAGAGGTAAGGTACGAGGATGGAGGTACCGGAATGGAATCGACATCGGAGCGGGACCGGACCCACCACTAGGTGTAAGTATGCAAATTCATTTCAGCGGCACTGTAGCATTTGCGTTTTCCAAATTTGGAAAACTAGTAAAAGTCACTTTTTCTAAATCATTAAGGAAAAGAGAGACATGTCTCATTTTTTCCGTTTTGGAAAACGATTTGGTAAACGCGTTTTTCTTTTTTCCTTTCTCCAGTTTTTCAGTAATTTCTTTGGTAAACACGTTTCCTGTTTTCTGTTTTCCAGTTTTCCAGTTTTCTAGAAAACTGGAAAATATCTTTGTTAGGAAACAGGCCCTTAGTATCTTCAAGGGATGGACTCGGGCCGGGCCAACCGGACCGGCCCGCTACTGTGCGGGCCCGGACCGGCCCGGTGAACCGATTAGTGCCCGGTTCGGGCCACCCGGCCCGGTGGGCTTCGGTTCCGGGCTCGGGCCCTCCATTTGGTGAACCGGCCCGCCCGGTTCGGGCCCGGTCCGGGCCGAATTTAATTTAATTTTTTATCTGAATTTTTTTTAAATTTTTGGGTTGGGCTGGGTATTTTGGGCCATTTGAGGTGGTTTGGGGGTGAGGGGGTTGGGTTGGGGGTTAAATAGGAGAAGCAAAAAAAAAAATTACAAACCGGGTGGCCCGGCCCGGCCCGGCCCGGAACCGGTGGCTACCGGTTCGGGCTCGGGCCCAACAAAACAGAACCGCGAACCGGCCGGGCCCAAACCGGAACCGGTCCACCCCTGGTATCTTCATTTGGCATTGTAAAATGCTATGTAGCACCGATACTGGTACGCGGAAACGCGGAAACGGGTACGTGAATACGTCAAAACCAAAAAAAGTAGGATACGGATACGGGGCCATATTTATAAATATTAAAATTTATGGGGGTGTATCTACAAATATTAAAAGTTATAGGGGTCTATTTATAAATATTAAAAATAGTTTTTAAAAAAATATATATACATATAATATCCTATGATGTCTACTCATTCATTGCATTGAAGCATTTTCCTTTTTCAAGATACTTAGTAATAAATTCATAATATTTGTCATATACACTAGTGCATCACCATGCAAACTCCAGCCCGTGACTCCAGCCCAGCGGGCTAAGGTATGCCACTCGTCCATCACCATGCAAACCCAGCCAATTCTAAGGACACTTGGCTCACCAAATGTGCCAAATGGAAAAAAGAAACAAAAGCCATGCTGCCATGCATCATAGATATATACGGACACATGCTTTCAATTATACATGTCAGTGGGAGTGTAAAAAAATAAACAACATAGAGGGCAGTGAGTTATGATGCCAAGGGAGGAGAAGCTAGGAGAAAGGAGGAAGATATATAGGAGGTTAGGAAGGAAATAAGAAGTAAAAATCTTGCCTAAATTTTAAGGTTTGTGTTCATTCCCTTCTCCTCATTAAGTTTTTATGTTTTATCTCCTCATTAAGTTTTTATGTTTTATCACATTGTTGTACTTCAAAGTTTTATTGTGAAGTTTATACCATTAATTAGTACATGTAGAGATAAAGTATCATTTCATTGAAGATGGCCTGGAATTGTATTACCAAATGTGTATACATAGAAGAAAGTCCGGTCTCTTTTACTAAACAGGAAAAAGAGCAGGTTTTATTAATGAAAAATATTCATAATTAATATACTAATTAAAGAAAAAGAAAATCGGAAATTTTACTTTTAAAATGATGGATATTCATATTCAGTAAAATGAATTAATAAAAATTAGACTTAAGATAGAATTCCAAAGTATATGATTATAATAAGATAGAACTCAAAAGTAATACATAGTAGTATAGTACGGAGTATATATTAAGCTTAATTGAATTTATTAAAGCACTTATATTTTTATATGCATACGTATAGATAGTTATTTCGAAGTGAGACTAATAATAAAGTCGATTCCACAC